GTAGTTACAACTTTGCTCAGTAGATGGCGCCACTACAAAAATTCAAGCTATTACTTGAAGTAAGAAATCTAGATGCGTAAGAAAGTGAGCACGGTATTGGATGCTGCATTTCGTTAAAAGCTAAAGATTTATTTTGGAGAATGGTCCTAATAAAACTACCATACTGTTTACAGTACTACATCAGACTTAGGCGAACATTTCATAAACACACATAAACTTTCTTTATCTCGCTGATGAACTCTATTTCTCGTATTACAAGAAAAAAATAAGAAAAATTTCTGTCACTTTTCGTGGACTCTAACCTGAAATCTGAAACATTCCAGTTAAAATCAATAATTTAAGAAATGGTGAATTCTTTTTCAATATAACATTGAGCCGTCGTGTCCTGTTCTACTGATCACATGGAACAATGACGTCATTCAAACAGACATTGGGATGGTGACGTTCTTTAGTGCTGACCTAAACCGGACTATTTGGTATAACATTCGAGAAGGACGATCTACTAAAAAGATCGAAACAAAAACCGTGAAACTTCGAATTATGACTACCAGATTTTAAGCATAATTTGTACAATATTGTTTGTCAATCAGTTACAGTAAAGCTGTTCTTTATTTTACATTTATTAGCACAAAGTGTGGGGGGGGGAGGTGTTCTCTGTCTTTCTAGACTGCGAAAGATCGTGTACACATTTTTATTGTCCAATACTTACAAAGAAATTCTATCAGTATTTAGATTAATCGCTTAAACACGGACGTAACTACAAATACTATAGAACTATAAAAGTTTCGCTTTATGTAAAACAAAACAAACAGTAGCTGTCACCTTCTAAACACGATTACGTAATTTGATTTTGAACCGTCACCGTTCTAATTCTTTTCAAACGTATATATATATTTATATTCCACCCCAACCTTCACTCTCAGCCTGGAAGCCCTTACTTATTTCTGACGTGAGTTTGGCACTAATAACAACGTGTTTCAATTCTCTAGCGTTTGGTTTTAAAACAATATCGTGGTATAAAGGTACCATATAACTTACAACTATGAAAACTAAAGGAGAAATACTAAATATATATATTACTATTTTACCGATTGACACGCATTATATGTGCACTAATGAAGCGGGTCATGGCTTTGGTTGAGCTGTATTTGAGTATACTTCACATATCCTTCAATAGTTTAGAACTTATCCACAAAACATGACACTTATTAAGCCTAAATAATTTTGGTCATGAAACATCTTGGTTGCCATAATTCTAGTTACGTGTCTAGAAGGTCCACACCAAATTCTCTGAGCATCCACTTCTGTTTCTTCGAAGCACAATATCAGATTCTAAAGATCGATCTCAACGAAATCAGTTCAATATCCATATTTGGTTGCAAAGAACCGTGGTTAAAAATTTGTCGTAACTCGTCTCACTTATTTATCCACTTTTTCTACCTTGTTTGATGGGTTCATAGTACCATCAACCACAAGGATGTGAGGAACAATAGTAGATGCGTATGGAGATTCGAGCAGGGTAGATCTGTACAACAAACAAAACAAGAGCATTACTGTTAAAATAATGAATACATTACCGGATATAGATGAAACTTCCATCAGTGTAGATATGTATAAAGAAACTGGTTAACTTTAAGATTCAATTGTTAAAATTTTCATTTAAAAAAAATTGGAAGGAGAATAGTGTAAAAAGGTACATATAATTAAAAACATTAAATTAAAGAATAATAAGTACAGTTGTTAGTGTCAAGTTGTGAAGCTTAGGTCCCAGTTTTCAAGACATGTTACCCTGTGTAGCTTTGCATTTAAAAAGTAATAGATAAAAAAATTAAATCCACTTTATTTATTATTAAAATATTGGATTTTCTTTCAGCTTTCCTCTTTCTCAAAAGTATAATACGTTAAATCCAATTAGGCCTAATTTCACGAAAACTAGTCAGAACTTCAATAGTTATCGTAAGGAGAGATTAAATTAAAAAGTTAATAAAAAATTAAGAATATCCTTAAAGAAAGTATTATGCAATATTATTACTAAAGAAGCAATAATATTTACTAGATATGGAAATTAAACTGACTCAATAAGAAACAATAATATTTACTAGAAATGGAAATTAAATTGATTCAATAAGAAACAATAATATTTACTAGAAATGGAAATTAAATTGATTCAATAAGAAACAATAATATTTACTAGAAATGGAAATTATACCGATTCACTAAGAAACAATAATATTTACTAGAAATGGAAATTAAAATGACTCAATAAGAAACAATAATATTTACTAGAAATGGAAATTATACCGATTCAATAAGAAACAATAATATTACTAGAAATGGAAATTAAACTGACTCAAAAAGAAACAATAATATTTACTAGAAATGGAAATTGAAGTGACTCAATAAGAAACAATAATATTTACTAGAAATGGAAATTAAAACTGACTCAATAAGAAACAATAATATTTACTAGAAATGGAAATTAAACTGATTCAATAAAAAACAATAATAATTACTAGAAATGGAAATTAAACTGATTCAATAAAAAACAATATTTACTAGAAATGGAAATTAAACTGATTCAATAAGAAACAATAATATTTACTAGAAATGGAAATTAAACTGATTCAATAAGAAACAATAATATTTACTACAAATGGAAATTAAACTGACTCAATAAAAAATATAACTTACTTTCTGCTCCAGAAATTCTCTTGACTGTAAGAGGATCTGAAATTTAAATTCACAAATAAAATACCGTGATTTGAAATTGTAAATTCTTTAACTAATTCCATAACACAAGTCATTGTTTTAACGATTCAGAACTACGCGAGGAAGAAAAATGCACCTTGTAGTATAATTAGTCAAATTTGGTAAAAGGGTCGCCCCTCCCCGTTGGCTCACCTTTAAGCTTGGGGGTTTCTAATACTACAATTAAAGGTTTAATCTTCGCAGTTAAATGAAACGTACATAATATAACAGGAAAATCATATTGATATTTTAATACCAAAAGCGTTTCCTGAAATAATAAACATTACGTTGGATTAAATGATGGACATCAAAGAGAATAGCAAGTTCTCAATTAGGCTTAATATTTGTGATAAAAAATTCCATTAGCCTTCAGATCGTTTTTTTTTAACATTCTTCTTAATTGGTTAATTAAGGATTGTAAATTAAACGACCATAGAAATTGAATTTTAAATCTCTCTTTTTGTCTACCATATGTCGCTGCTCAGAAGAATACCAGAACTCGTCTGCTGGGCAGAACTTGATGACAAACAAATGTATAACTCAAAATGCTATTTCCGATGTAGTAGGAAGGGCGTTTAACGCCGGAAGTCTAAGATGTTTTAATAACATACATAAGAACCATTGATTCTCCTGTTTTTGGTGTTTCACGTCGTAACATTGATTTTTTATTGTAATTAAAGATCCTCGTTTTAGATTTGCCAAAGTGCTGTGAAGGCTGCTATCTGTTAATCTCGAGTTTTACCAAAAGTAGATCACCAGGAAAAAGAGCCAATGGTGTTAAAAAAAGTTCCCACTAATATAAAAAAAAAAATCTGATCTACAGTCCAATTATTTTAACTTCGGGATTGCAGTCGTCAGACTACACAATAATTACAAAGTTTTTAAGCCTGAAAAATTCATTTAACTAGAACTCACCAACAAAGTTCCGGAACTGGTAGAAGGCTTCAAACCCTGTTCCGTCAAATTTCCCATTAGACTTAAAAGCGACACGAAAGAAGTCTCCGTCGGATTCGATTATTTTGGGTTTTTTCCCCCCGCAGTGTCTTGGAATCTTTCTGTCCACTGTCCGGAAGTTCGAAAATTCCACGAAATCGCTAGCCAGGTCTGTAGTACACCTAATACGGTGGAATATCGTTTTAAGTGGTTTCACTTCTTTTACTTATAAAACTAGTCTTATCCAGACACAGAGTAGGTCGTAATAATTCACCCTTTTATGTTTTTCATTAATATGACAAAAATTGTTACTTTTCAATGTGGATTCAACCACAGATTAACGTTCACCTGGAATACTGAGATATTGAGCTAAGCCTAATGGGACATAACTATGGTGTACCCTGTAGAAACGCGCTGTTTTGCACGAATGAATTAGAGGATTGTCTCCTGACTCCGTTGCTTTAATTAAAAGAAATATATACTATTTGTGCGCCAAAGTGCTCGTGGGTTGTTGGTCACAAGGTCCCTAAAAACATTTGTTTGTTTGTTTTGTTTTTGAATTTCGCGCTAAGCTACTCGAGGGCTATCTTCGCTAGCCGTCCCTAATTTAGCAGTGTAAGACTAGAGTGAAGGCAGCTAGTCATCACCATCCACCGCCAACTCTTGGGTTACTCTTTTACCAACGAATAGTGAGATTGACCGTCACATTATAACGCCCCCACGGCTGAAAGGGCGAGCATATTTGGTGGGACGGGGATTCGAACCCACGACTCTCAGATTGCGAGTCGAGCTCCCTAACCACCTGGCCATGCCGGGCCACTCTAAAAACATAGTCTCACACAATTTAAACAAAAAATATCATCAATATTGTAATTAATCTCTTTTAACTACGGTTAGAGATCCTATCTGTTTTACGTAGAAAATTATTGAATTCACGAAACTGTTTTATTTAGTTCTTTATACCGAATATTCTAAAAAGTCAAATATCATAAACTACTCAATATGGTAAAGAAACTGGAGACAGTATAAAAATAAGCCAGTAAATTGAGACTTAACCACAAATTAATAAGATAGAATTGTTTTTCAAAGGATATTTTATTTACAGAGTAGTGAACTTACCCTGAAAACACTTATGGTGAAACGCCCTCTACAAATAGGTAAAATTTTCGAGGAAACGCCCCCTACCGATAAGTACCCAAAACTTTTGGTGAAACTTCCTTTATATCTAATTACCCTAATCTTACAGTGAAACGCCCTCTACAAATAGGTAAAATTTTCGAGGAAACGCCCTCTACCGATAAGTACCCAAACTTTTGGTGAAACTTCCTTTATATCTAATTACCCTAATCTTACGGTGAAACGCCCTTTATATAGAAATAAGCAAAACTTACGGTGAAACGCCCTCTACAAATAGGTAAAATTTACTAGGAAACGCCCTCTACCGATAAGTACCCAAAACTTTTGGTGAAACTTCCTTTATATCTAATTACCCTAATCTTACGGTGAAACGCCCTTTATATAGAAATAAGCAAAACTTACGGTGAAACGCCCTCTACAAATAGGTAAAATTTACTAGGAAACGCCCTCTACCGATAAGTACCCAAAACTTTTGGTGAAACTTCCTTTATATCTAATTACCCTAATCTTACGGTGAAACGCCCTTTATATAGAAATAAGCAAAACTTACGGTGAAACGCCCTCTACATCGAAATACGCAAACGTCAAGGTGACTCTCT